ATACCTTAGTGTCCCAATGCAGTACACTGGAACTCAGAAAAACAACCATGCCTCTATTTTTGCTGTTGGAAATTTGACTCATGAGATTGCCAAAGGGAAATGGATATTAGAGGAAGAGAATTAACAGTTGTTGGTGTGTAACCTTGATGTGCTGCATTTGAAAATAAACAACTTTAGGGTAAAATGAAAAAAATTATTAGAACAAAAATTCAGTTTTTTGAATGAATGCAGTCTCTTCTAAAGCTCTCAAAGTTGAAACAACATTAGCCCTCTCACGATTCACCATTACCTTGACCTTTGGTTCCAGTGTAGAAATTCAGCTGCCTGAATTTGAGAGCTGCTACTATCAAACTTTCTACAGTGTCTCTGGTCCTGCAGACAAATAACAAGTGCATTTTAAGTGTCCTGGGACAGAAATTAGAGCCACAGAAATTCAAATTGCAATTGGTGCAATACATCGAGGTAGAGAGGACTAAAGAGCTGACAGTCATGAAGTGTGTGTTCTAGCTGATGTGCAAACAAGCCCATTTGCAAAGAAATCTATTACCAATAGATGGTGAGCTTGGCTACAATGTGGGATGCTTTAATGAATTTTGAGACTCTTGTTGTAAAGGTAGAGGGAAGAAGTAGACAAAGAAAGGAAGGATGAAGATAAGGAGTTTGGCCAGATCAGATAGAGGAAGGATTGGCAGGCACCACAGGTTCCTGCAGCTGCAGAGGCAAATCTGGAAAGACCAGCACAGGCTTTTCTTTATTACGCCTTCAATCACCACTGAGGTCTGTACTAGGGAATTAGTTGGCTCCCAGTTTCTCTAGGGTGTTGTATGCACAGACATGTGGGCCAGTTTCCACACAGAACATTCAGTGGGCTGCAAGAAGTGCTCCTTTTTAAAAAAAATTTTTTTTAATGTTTACTTATTTTGAGAGAGAGAGTGCAAGTAGGGGAGGGGCGGGGGGTGGGGGGGTGGGGGCTGGGGCACAGAATCCGAAGCAGGCTGCAGGCTCAGCTGTCAGCACAGAGCCTGACAGGGCTCAAACCCATGAACCGTGAGATCATGACCTGAGCTGAAGTCAGATGCTTAACCTGCTGAACCACCCAGGTGCCCCTGCGAGGAGTGCTTCTTAACATTGTTGCCTTATTGGCTAGGATGCCCAGCAGACCCACCCCCCCCACTCAGGTGGGACTACTTACTCTCTGGGCCCACAGGTGTGACAGGTGTTCATGCCATTTCATTACTACCATCCTAATTCTCCTTGCCTGGGCTCACAGAATCCTAGAGTGTCAAGGAATTAACAAGAACAGAAGTGAGGTCAAGTGAGTTGCCCAAGAAGCATCCCCAGTATAAAGCTCTTTGCACAAACTTTCCTGTCCAACTCACCAAAATTTGTCCTTTTCCTAAGTCTACCTCATAGCTTCATCTTTAAAGTCCTAGAGTATTGGGGTACCTGGGTGGCTCAATCACTTAAGCGTCTGACTTCAGCTCAGGTCATGATCTCACTGTTTGTGAGTTTGATCCCGGCATCCAGCTGTGTGCCTGGAGCCTGCTTCAGATTCTGTGTCTCCCTCTCTCTCTGCCTCTTCCCAGCTCATGCTCTGTCTCTCAAAAATGAACAAACATTTAAAAAAATTTTTTTAAAAGTCCTAGAGTATTTATTGTCAAAATCTATGTGTCTCAATTATATACTCTCTGGTGTTGCTCATTGTTGCTGCATCTGTCTTGATTCCCTGCAAGATGCTAACCCCATTGAACATGGGTCCATATCTTATACACCAGGGTTTCTCAAACTTTAATGTGCACACGGATCACTTAGAGATCTAGTAAAAAAAAAAAAAAAAAAAAAAAAAAAAAAAAAAAAAAAAAAAAAAAAAAAATGGAGATTCCAGGGGCACCTGGCTGGCTCAGTTGGTAGAGCGTGTGACTCTTGATCTCAGGGTCATGAGTTTGAGTTGGGTGTAGAGATTACTTAGAAATGAAAATCTTTTTTTTTTAATATTTATTTTTGAGAGAGAGAGAAAGAGCAGGGGAGGGCCAGAGACAGAGGGAGAGAGAGAATCCCAAGCAGGCTCCGTGCTATCAGTGCAGAGCCCAACACAGGGCTCGAACTCACAAACTGGGAGATCATGACCTGAAATGAAATCTAGAGTCAGACACTTACGAACTGAGCCACCCAGGCACCCCCAAAATAAAAATCTTTAAAAATATGAGGACTCTGATTCAGAAGGTCTGGGGTGGGGCCTGAGACTCTGAATTTCTAACAAATTTCTTCAGTAGTGGTGCTGATGCTGCTGGCCTAGCACAGCACTTGGTAATTGACTGATTTCTGCCTTCCCTGAGAAATGTTGCAAGAATCCATCTTATCTGATAGACATTGTTTTTCCTGTTTGCAGTGTGTTAAAGGGATAATAATAGTTTGTCTTTGTTATGGAGAGGAAGAGAAGTGTGGCTGGTTAAAGCATGGGCTTTGAGCCACTCAAAATAAAAGCTAACATTTATCAAGTACTTACTATGTGTTGGGCACTGTGATGAGCACTTTATGTGCATTATTCGATTTAATCTTTTGAAAGGAAAATGTTAACTAAAACACAAAACCATTGTGTTATGTTTGGGTTTTCAGGCAATAAATACCAATTTCTTTTTTTTTTAAAGTTTATTTATTTATTTTGAGAAAGAGAAAGAGGGAGAGAGAGAGTGAGAGGGGGAAGGGCAGAAAGAGAGAGAGAGAGAATTCTAAGCAGGCTCCACCCTGTTAGTGCAGAATCTGATGTGGGACTTGAAGTCATGAACCACGAAATCATGACCTGAGCTGAAACCAAGAGCCAGGTGTTTAGCTGACTGAGCCACCCAGGCATCCCAATAAATATCAATTTCTTAAGTAATTTCTCTTTCTATAGGACTACAGAGCATCTATAGGTTCCTTTAAGAAAAGCTTAGTAAGTCCACTAGGATTTTTATATTAGCTGATAGTTTAAAAAATAACCACTGTTTTGTGCCTTATATGAGTGTGTGGAAAGTGTTTCCAAAGAATGTGCATCAACTAAAAGAGAATGGGTGTTTAATTTACATAAGTCAGATAAGTGAATTATGAATTTATTAGTATAAAGTTGTAAATCTTATTTCTGGGTTTCAGGGGCTCAGGAATAGTACATTTGGCCAAAGCAAAAATACATTTGTCTTGAGACTTCTTTAGAATTTAAATCTAACTAGTGAGCATTTGTTGATTAAAAAGTTGATTTTCATTCTCTAAAGGAAAACGCATATTTCTGACCCATTTTTTTTCTTTTTTTTTTTTTTAATTTTTTTTTTCAACGTTTTTATTTATTTTTGGGACAGAGAGAGACGGAGCATGAACGGGGGAGGGGCAGAGAGAGAGGGAGACACAGAATCGGAAACAGGCTCCAGGCTCTGAGCCATCCGCCCAGAGCCCGACGCGGGGCTCGAACTCACGGACCGCGAGATCGTGACCTGGCTGAAGTCGGATGCTTAACCGACTGCGCCACCCAGGCGCCCCCCCATTTTTTTTCTTAAGAGGAATGTGCGTGTGTGTGTTATTTTATGTGTCTCTACAGTAACTCTTTCACTTAAGTACTGTTGTCTATTTTAAAGTTTGTCTATTTATTTTGAGAGAGAGAGCAAGAGAGAGCACACACGAGCTTGATCAGCGGAGGGGCAGAGAGAGAGGGAGAGGGAATCCCAAGCAGCCTCTGTGTTGTCAGCACAGAGTCCAATGCGGTGCTCGATCCCGCAAACCCGAACCATGAGATCATGACCTGAGCTGAAATCAAGAGTTGGACGTTCAACCAACTGAGCCACCCAGGTGCTCCTGTTCTCCTCATTTTTAAAGGTGTGGAAACTGAGGCTCCATGAGATAAGTGACTTGCCCACTCTTGCACCGCTACTAGGACCTGACCCAGGATACAAATTCACATTATTTTTTTAACCATTTTCTGAAAAATTAAAAACTTACAGAAAAGTTTGAGAATGGTACAATGAATATCCGTATACCTTTCCTCTAGATTCACTAGTTGTTACCACTTACAAAGTCCACACTCTTAACCACTCTACCATTTATTAGGCATATTATGACCTTAGGATATTACATAACCTCTCTGTATTTGATTTCGTTATATACAAGTAGATAAAAATATCTATACTGAGGGTTTTAAAAATGAAGATAAAGTGGGGTGCCTGGCTGGCTCAGTCAGTATAGCATGTGACTATTGATATCAGAGTCATGAGTTCGAGCTCCAAGTTGGGCACAGAGGTCACATAAAAAACAAAATAAAAATGAGGATGAAGTGAATAATGTATTCTTTCAGCAAATGTTTACTGAGCTCCTACCATTCTGGGATGAATACAGAACATTGTTCTAAGCCAGGACAAAGCAAGGTAGCACATTGTATGCCCTCATAATATCCCTTCATAATGTCCCCTCAGATGGTGGGAGACAGACAGCGAAGGGATACACTGGGTAAATTCAGGTGGCCTAAGCACTGGGAGGAGACAAAGCCTTTAGACAGAGTGGTCTGGAAGGCTTCCTGAAGGAGGTGAGCTCTGGCCTGAGGCCTGACTTATAAAAGGAAATGCATATATAAATGGGGGCAGAATGGGCCAGCCTACCCAGAGTGCATGCTGAACATCTTTTTATTCAACAAAAAAGGAAGATTGTGAAGTTTCTCTTTGTGGAGATTGTTTAGAAGAGAGCATAGGCTCTCAGACAGATTAGATAATAGTCTGATGAAAGATAGGCTAGGCCAGTAGGTTTTCCAGAGTCTGTTCCAGCTCCGAGCATCTACAACCTATGAAGGGTGCTACAAGCATAGATTTCTGAAAAACAACCTTTGTAAAAGTATCTGGACTTCCTTGGCAATTATTTCCTGTGAAGCACGTAACTTCTAATATTAATAAGCTATATTATTAACTAATGGCAGTTGCTGTCCAAGGAAGTCTGATTTGTTTTTTTGGAATCTCAATAAACTTTTGTTTCTAATTTAGAAATTGGATGAAGACATGCATCAAAAAATTGCAAGAGAAATGAACCTCTCTGAAACTGCTTTTATCCGAAAACTGCACCCAACTGACAACTTTACACAAAGTAAATATGCTTTTTTTTTTTAAAAGCCATTCTTGAATGATACCAGAAGCTGCTTTTCCAGTGGGGAATGATATTTAAGAGAGATGCCTATTTAGTATTTGCATGCAGATAGGAGAAGAGCAGGGGGAGATTCTGATTTAGTTTTCAGTTCATCTCGGGGAGCAGGTGTTGGGTGATTTGAACGTTTCAGCTCCAGATCAGCACTGGGGAGCCTGACGATGCTGGCCTCCTTCATTCCTCCTTTCAGGTATTAATCATGCTAGGGAAATATCTAGAAAAGAGTAAGAAAATAAAAAATTTGTGACCCACTTGTATGGGAATGATCTCATTTCTCTTTGGTTTTTCTTCCTCTGAAGGTTCCTGCTTTGGATTAAGGTGGTTTACGCCGGCAACTGAGGTTCCTCTCTGTGGCCATGCTACCCTGGCTTCCGCAGCTGTGCTGTTTTACAAAATAAGTAATGTGATTTTCTTTTATGAACCCATCATTTAGCAAATAGCCAATATTTAAAAAAATTCTCACAAAGTCTTTGTGATGAATCAAAGATACTGGTATAAAGACATCACAGAATCTATTTCATGCAATTCGGTACACCAAAACAAAAACAGCCCCCGAGACTTTGGCCTTCCTGAATATGTGCCAGGCATGTTAGAAAGCCATGGTCAGTGTTCTCTAGAATGCCATTTTATTTTGAAGAGGAGTTCTCTGGTCTCTGACCAACACAGCGGGTGAGCTTGTGAGACACAACAGGCATCTCACATGATGTGATATCTGGGAACCATAAGGCACTTTTTGCTCTGAATATGTCCCCACCCACATTGAAATTCATTTTGCAAGAGCAGCAGCAGCTGCTGCTGCTTCTTTCTTCTTTCTTTCTTTCTTTCTTTCTTTCTTTCTTTCTTTCTTTCTTTCTTTCTTTCCTTTTTCTTTCTCCTCCTCCTCCTTCTGTAAACTGTACACCCAATGTGGGGCTTGAACTCAGGATCCCGAGATCAAGAGTCACATACTCTACAGACTGTGCCAGCCAAACGCCCATCACAAGAGATTCTTTACTCTGAAGATTCATGAGCCCTGACTATACACATTTACCTTATGAAGAGATGATGCAGGACCTCAATCCTACCAGTTTTCATCCTAGCTACATTTAGTGTAATAAAGGTCAGGGCTTTGTGGGAATGGGGTAGGGGAGAGATGCCTAGAAATGCCCTAAAAGTGGAGATGGAAGTAGCCATGAATAGGTGTAGACAACAAACAGGAAGTTAAACAAGGAAATACACAGGACGATATGACAGAGGGTAACTGTAGTGAGTGCAGACTTGGAAAAGGAGGTTCTCTGAGGAGTTACTTAGATGGAGGTGGTAGGGAAGGTGTTACAGGGTGAGTTTCCCCAGGAAGTGGACTCTGAGACATATTGCATGCCGGAAGAACTGCGGGCAGTATTCTTGGGATCAATGTTTGTAGGGGAGTAAAGAAAGTGGAATACAAGAGCGAGAAGGTGAACTGCAAAGTGGTAGCAACAAAGAAAGGCCTAGGCCAAATCCACAGGGAAGTCTAAAGCTGCCAAGGTTCTTTAAGTAGTATAGTTCTAAATAGAAGCAAAAGTTTAGGCCTTTGTACCTTCCATTGACCAGCCTCCAATGCCCAGAAAAGCAGCATGACCTTGGGTAAAATAGCTCTACTCACCCAAGGGCAATTCACAGAGTGGGACTCAGCTGAGAGCTGTTGGTCACCAACACCTTCCACAACCCGGTTGGGGGAGAAAATCAAGCCTTCAGGCTGTACCTGAGAGCAGATGCCTCCTTAAATTTGTTCCTCTGTATTTCCTTGCCTCACCTAGTCCTTGCCTTGAGAGGGGAAGGTTGAGTGAGATTTTGACAACGGCATGCACTAGAGAAGGGACCTTCAGGCTGAAGAATATGAAGCCATCTGTGCAAAGAGCTAGACTGTGAGAAGGAGTCAGAGGTAGCAGCACATGCAAAGCCCTTGAGAGGCAGCCTGTATACTAGGAGTGGCTGGAGCTTCTTGGGGGTGACTGGCAGGAGATAACATTGAGAGTCAGGTCAAGGCTCCTCTACAATGTAATCCATTATATGTCTTAAAAAGACAATTTTGGTTTCTGTGGATAGGGGACAAGAATGAAGGCAGGAAAGTATCCTGAAATATTGTTTAGGAACTCAGTCTTGAAAAGTAGATTTTACTGAAGTTGGATTGAGTGTCTTTTGAAACCCCACATTGGTTGAAGTGAGGCAGAGACTTGGAATAATAACCTTCAGATCCCCCACAGGGTGGTCTTAAGGTTATATAAGTTATGAAAAGGTGCTTTGTAAATAATAATGTATTCCACCAATTATAATAAGAAAAATTAAACTTTGGGTTTTAGAGTATAAATTTTATATTCAGTGAAAGTTAATTGACAATGCCAAATTTCCTTACCTTTTAGATATGGTTAAGTTTCACAGAAATATTAAGGGGGAGGAAAGAATTAGGTCATAAATCTTTGTTTTCACTAAAAATGTTACCCACAATGAGGTCAGATAAGTGGCCCAAGTGGTATCAGTAACATGAAGGCTCAATCTTCAAATGATAATTTTATGTATAGCCTGGTTTATTTAGGGTAAGCTTGATTTGTTCCTTTAGACTGTTGTTCATAATTTGTATATTCTATTTGTCATCCCTTTGGCATATCTTAGACTAGTATTATTTGTAACTCTTATAGAGTATATTTAAAAATCTGCATTAGAAAACACTATTGCATCCCTATGAGGTAGGTTTAATTTTTACCCCATTTTATTGATGAGGAAATGGAGGCTTAAGGAGGTTAAATAGTTTGCTCAAAGGTACAGTTAGTAAGCTAAAAGAAGCTGGCATTTGAAGCCTTGCAGTATGATGTCAAGTCCAATCAGTTATGTTCTCGGTTCTCAAGTGAGAATCCAGGGATGCCTTTCTCTACTCTGGACCACAGTAAGGCAAACTTGGACCCCTCCTTATGGGAAAAGACAGCACTGCCACAGAATCTAGGGAAACACAATAGTGATCAAAACAGATATGTAAATATATAACAAAGTTTATTTTCCTATTTCTTGATTTTCTCTCAAAATTCCTTTATAATTGACAAAAGTAAGACTCTTTTTTTTGGCCAGAAAATGTAAATAGCACTCTAACCTTTGTCACTCTGAGTGGGGAACTAACGGCCAGAAGAGCACAGGATGGTATCATCCTGGATCTGCCTCTTTATCCAACTCACCCCCAGGTAAGCTCTTTCTAATTATTGCCATGAACTGTATACAACTGACAGCTTGCCTGTTTTACAATGGTCTTGTCTTTTCTCCTCATCTAGGACTTCCATGAAGTGGACGACTTGATAAAGGTTGGTGAAAGGAATTAAACTTAAGCTCATGTGATCTGGTCATTTGAACATCTGGTCTGATCTGTTGTTTGAACACAAAGGAACAGTAGCCTTTGACCCCCAAAGATAGGCCTTCTATCAGTATAAATGTTCCAGTCTAAGCTCGGATGAAGAGCGCACAGTGCATTTGAGGTGTGGATTTTAATACTGAATGTTATTTGGTGAGAAGGTTGAGCAATTTTCCCTGACCCTTCATTGTCAGTATTAGCTTCCATGAAGGTAAGGGGAGGACAGACTGCTGTGTGGTGGCTGAGAGAAAAAGGAATGGAAGCTGCCTGGCAGGGCGATCCTAATTTCTGTGGTGGAGAATGAGGCTGAGGTCAGGGAGCTGTGCTTTGATGGAGGAGGGCAGGAAAGTCTGGGTAAATTGAGACAGAAGGCAAGATTCATAGTCTGCCTTCCTCTGGAGGTCTATATAGGGGTGGGTCTTAAAAACAAGAATAACAATAATGATAATAAACATTTTGGAGAGTCTCCCTGTGCAGTACCAGGTGCTAATAAGCATTTCACATGCAATATCTCCTGTAATTCTCACTGTTCCCCAGTGAAGTACACACTATGGTCATCCTGTGGAGATGCCAGAGGGGCAGAGCAGCTCTGGATGACCAGGTACTTAGTTTGTAGAGAAGGAAGGGACTGGTCAAGACCAGGACAAGGGCTGCAGCGACAAAAAAAAAATTCTGTAAAATGGCCTTTGTGGGTGCCACTGGGGTGTTTCTCATTGACTTTTCAACTAAAGCATTTATAATCTGTTTAGTGTCTTATATTGTCTATGTTTTCAAAGAGTAGCAGTAAGGATTATAGATTCTGATTTTACACTCAGCCCCACCTGTGGCTCAGGTTTTGGAAGACAAGCCAAATTCAAAAATGAACTACTTTAAGCATGTTGTCAAGAAAGTGGAAAATATTCACAGCATAGACCTTGGTCATGGTAGAAAGAACTTAACCTGGTATCTTTATGCCTGAGGCTCAGCATTTGTAAAATGGGCATGATAAAGAGTTAGTTATAGTGAGTATTGTCATTTTATGTTCCTAGAAACTAACAATAGGATTCTCAGCTGAGAATTAGACTTTCAAATTGACATAAGAATTCATGCAGAGGAGGGCTGAATAATCTTTCCGAGAGACTGAAAGTCCCCAAGAGCAGATGGGATCTGGCTGCAAGAGTTTCCATTTCTAGACGGACGGACATTATTTAGCTGTGGAAACAGGGGCAGACAGTTGAGGCATCACCCAAAGTGGATGGAGTCTTGGTTTTGGGACCTGGAACATCTCAGCCCCTAGAGAAGATTGGAGGACCTGAAGCGACCTAATGATGGTCAGATCACTTCTGTGTAATTCTCATCTGCTCTGCCTACAGCCAGTGGTGGTGCCAAAGGGTGACTTGGAGAGGCTTTTCCCCCCTCATAATCTCAGCACTCCAAATCAACAACCAATCACACAAATAATGTTCTAGGATATGAGCAAGATTGTGTGCAGTCTTAGGTAGAGCGTGAATGAAAGTATCTTTAGTAAATGTTGCTATGTTACTGATCCACAGCACACAGTCTGAGTGAAAACAGTGCTTGCCAAACAGAGTAGTGTTAAGATGAGTGGTCTAGTCCCCACTTTTATTCAAACTGCTGGCCCTGAGTCCTTGCCACATAGAATCTCCTATTTGCTGATGCTGGGACTCCATGTATATTCTTTCTTTTTTTCTTCTTTCTTAAAAAAAGTTTTTTTTTTTTTAACATTTTATTTTTTTGAGAGACCAAGAGAGACAGACTGCAAGCAGGGGAGAGGTAGAGAGAGAGGGAGACACAGAATCTGAAGCAGACCCCAGGCTCGGAGCTGTCAGCACAGAGCCCGACGCGTGGCTTAAACTCACAAACCGTGAGATCATGGCCTGAGCCGAAGTCGGACACTCAACCAACTGAGCCACCCAGGGCGACCACATATATATTTCATTTAATCTTCACAACAATGTTAAGAGGTGGGCCTGAGGCCCCCATTTCTACAGACAGTAGACAATAGACAGATTCAGAGCTTTGACTCCAGGGCCCCTCAGATCTGGGTCAAGGTGTGTGTGTGTGTGTGTGTGTGTGTGTGTGTGTCCGTCCCTGTCCCTGGGCCTAAGTCTTCCTCTTTATTTGCGAGGAAAATGCACACTTGAAAGAGTAGAGTGTGGAGGCACATAGTAATACTTGTGAACAATGCCTATCTTTGGCTCTCAGAGGGTAAGCTCAACCCCCTTAAAGGTCTCTGGTCTCCAGGAAACTAGCCTTCCTTGGGCAACACCTTGAGAGCTGAAACTGAACTAAAACTCTTGGGATTGGAGATGTTGGCTATGCCTGGCACACAGGAGATGCTCATGAGAGGTTTTTCCCCATACAGAAGATCAATGATTTGACCCAGGAGGCACTCCTGAGGAGTTTTTGGTCTGTCTCCACAGACTGCCATAGGTGATACACTGGTCCAGGACATCCGCTATTCTCCAGATACCCGAAAGCTCCTTGTCCGGCTCAGTGATACTTACAAGAGGTAAACAAAATTTTTGGCTTTGTCAGCACTTTGGGGAGGGCTGAGAACCCATGTTTATAGCTCTGGTTTTGTTTGACTGTGCTATGTCCAGTCAAACCATGATTTATGCAGTCAGAGAGTTTTGTTCCCAGGATATTCAACTTGCTTTCCTCCCTGACTGCTGAGCTGTTTGCTCAAGCTGCACCCTATCTTGCTTTAGAGAGTCTGTGTAGTGGTCTGTGAGATGGGTTTGTCCTAATGGGTCCTATTTATGAACAAGGTCATTTTTGGAGAACCTGAAGGTGAACACACAGAATCTTCTGCAAGTGGAAAACACAGGAAAGGTGAAAGGACTCATTCTCACCCTTAAAGGAGAGCCTGGAGGGCAGAGCCAAGCATTTGACTTTTACTCCAGATATTTTGCACCGTGGGTTGGTGTGGCTGAAGACCCTGTAACAGGTACTTTTTGACTGGGTCCTGGGGATGGTTCAACAATGAAGGGGGAGGATAACAAATAGCTGTTTAAGTGACCTTCACATGACTTTTCAGGTTGCTTGGATTTTGAGCTGTTTCTGTTTCCTTATCTCCCCTGCCCCCATCCCTTCACTGAAGTTTCATGTGACAACTACAGAATTAAGCAGGCAGTATAGCAGCCTTATGTCAGACAGTCTGAGTTTACATCCTAGTTTCCTAGCTGTTGACCTGGAGCAAATGACTTAACTTTTAAAAATTTCTGTTCCCTCCTCTATAAAATATGAGTATTACCTCATAGGGTTATATAAAGATAATGTATGGTAAGTGCTTAGCACAGTACCTGTCACATGATAAGTGCCCAATAACTATTAGCTATTTTAATAGTAACGATAAAACTGGCTCCCTGAACCAACACTTCCAGATCTGCCATTTGCAAAATTCAGGGGCTGATGTCCACTACAGTCCCAAAGCCTTTTGTTTCTTTTTCAATGACCAGCCTGCGTGATCGCTGACATCTAGATAAGATTTGGTTTTTGAAGGATAAACTCCTGGGTTGTAGGTGGGAAATAGGGACAGGAAGAGCTTTCCCAGACCTACCCCCAAAGTGGGTGGGATGGGTTTGGGGACAGGGTTATTCAAGATCTGCCAGCCGGAAGCAGAGGGATGAAATCGAAGATGGGCAAGGATGTGAAGCTTCCTCCTCTCATGCTCTTTGAGAAGAGTGGGCTGAGGAGAAAAAGAAGGGAATGCTTGATGGAGGAGGCTGGTGGATGGGATGGTGGCTGGGGCAGAAGGAGGCTGGGAAGGAACTTTGAGGCTCCTTTTCTGGCCAGAAGGCAGAGGCTGGAATGGTTTCAGGACTTTGACTTAGTTACTCTCTGAGAAAACACGTGAAATTCAAAGCTCAGCAAAGCACTTTTAAGGACTCAGGAGAATGCCCAATGACATCCAAAAAGTACAGCTCAGCGCTCCCCCATGGAAAAGAAGTTTTGACTGCATTTACACACGCACAGCTGTTTCTAAAAGGTTTTAATTGGTACAGAGGGCAAGTGTTTTCCCCTGTAATAATGCTTTTCTAAAGTGGGAAGGTCTTTGGACATGATGACCAACCATCTCAGCTTGCTTGGGACTGAGGCATTTCTCAGCCTACAGGACCTTTGGTGATAAAAGCAGGACAGTCTTGGGCAAACTGGGATGTTTGGTCATCCTAGGTGGATCCCTCATAACATCTGATAAGTTTTCCTGAAGAAAACCCATCCTTTTCTTCCCCCAGAGACTTTTCTGTCAGTTATTACTTTATTATTTTTTAAAGTTTATTTATTTTTGAGAGAGAGAGACAGAGCGCAAGCAGGGGAGGGGCAGAGAGAGAGGGAGACACAGAATCTGAGCTGCCAGCACAGAGCCCAACGTGGGGCTCAAACTCACAAACTGCGAGATCATGACCTGAGTTGAAGTTGGACGCTTAACTGACTGAGCCACCCAGGTGCCCCTGTCAGTTATTACTTTATATTTTTTTCCTTCATATTAATATCTATTCACTGATCTAAAACTAGGGTACAATCCAGTGAAAAAAAAAGTCTCACTAAAAGAAAGTTCTATTGGTACCAAAAGCCTGAAAAAGTTGGCTTGGTGGAAAATTTAACCTTTTGTCATAGTTCCCAGTTTTCTTTGCATGTTCATCCTAGGGGGAAGGAGATATTTTCCTTGAAAGATGGAGAAGATTTATGTGAAGCCCTTGATCTTCCTACCATGTGCTGACAATGAACTGATAGGACAAAAATTAAAACCTGCAGTTTAATTCAAAAAGATATATGCACTTTGACGTTTATAGCAGCTATTTATAGCAACACAAGTGTCCATCAATAGGTGAATGGATAAAGAAGATGTGATACATGTATATGTGATATGTGTGATACACACACACACACACACACACACACACACACACGAATATTACGCAGCAATAAAAAAGAATGAGTTTTTTTCCATTTGCAACAACATGGATGGACATAGAGGTATTATGCTAAATGAAATAAATCAGGCAGAGAAAGATAAATACCATATTGTTTCGCTTATATGTGGAATAAGAGACAAAACAAATGAATAAACAAATAAAAAGCAGAATCAAACCTATAAATACAGAGAACAAACTCATGGTTCCCAGGGGGAAGGAGTGGGGGATGGGTGAAATGGGTGAAAGGGAGTAGGATATATAGGTTTCCAGCTATGGAATGAGTAAGTCACAGGAATAAAAGGCAGAGCATAGGGAATATAGTCAATGATATTGTAATAGCATGTGGTGATGGACAGTAGCTACACTTGTGGTGAGTATACCATAGCACATAGAGAGATTGAATCACTATCTTGTATACCTGAAACTAATATAACATTTTGTATCAATTATACTCAAATTAAAAAATTATAAAAATAATCCTGCAGTTTAATTCAGCCTTCAGAAAGTGTAAAACATAAGAGATACATCATTTGGAGGAGCTTATCCATAAATTCTGTATCTTTGTTTCTATCTCCATTCATAATTCCACACTCAGCTGTGGCTAAGCCATCTAAGGTTTAGTCAAATTGGATAGTTGTTTGTAATTGCTTATAAATTTACCACAAAGTCACTCCTGTTTTTGTATCATAACTTCACTTCTTTTAAGGGTCTGCCCATGCCGTTCTCAGCAGCTACTGGTCTCAGCAACTGGGGAAGAAAGACATGCATGGTACGGCAGGTTTTTTTCCAATTTTTAAAACATTTGTGAACTTGAAGTTAGCATTCCTTCTCATATATACTATTTACTTGAAAATGTAATAAAATGTCATGGAAGTTTTTTTAATGAAAAACCCACATGAAAATGAAAGATTTTAAACTCCTTCACCCTGAATCCTCTACTCAGAACATCTTCCACCCCAAACATCTTCCACCTCTGTTCCTCCCAACACATAGACACACTTCTAATACAGTGAGTGTCCAATAAGCATTTGTTGTATAGAATCAACAAGCTATGCGGGGCGCCTGGGTGGCGCAGTCGGTTAAGCATCCGACTTCAGCCAGGTCACGATCTCGCGGCCCGTGGGTTCGAGCCCCGCATCAGGCTCTGGGCTGATGGCTCAGAGCCTGGAGCCTGTTTCCGATTCTGTGTCTCC